TTGAGGCAAATAACTATAAAATTTCAGCAACAACGTATCCTGTTTTTAGAGTGGGAAGAGCGTGTGATCATGATTAGAGCAGGAAAGGAAAGCGAAAAATTCGAAGTGGCCAATTTTTTTTACCAATTTTTGTATCAGAATATTTTACCGGACATATTGCAAAAGTGTTGGCAAATTGAAGTCATTTTGCCACCACCCGTAAGGAAATAGAAAGAAAAGAAAAATTTGTGTTTATAAACAGAAAATTTTTTAAATAGTAGAAACTTTTTGTTAGCAATAAACTCAATTGACGATTTCAGAAGTTTGGCTGCCAAAATGTGTGCCGTCAATTTGTACGTTTTTTTATCTAACACGCAAGCTTGTCTGGAAACGAAATGAGCATCAATTTTTTTAGGAGGTACTAAGGTAAAACTTTTTGTCGTGTTTTCAAAGGAGAAGTGTTTTTTCGATAGTCATTAAAACAAGAAACACAAATAAAAATTAAAATCAGATCAGTTCATGGCCGCCTGCTGTCTGTGGTTGGATAAATCATGAAACTCTTACTCGGTCATGCTTTCTTCAACCATTTGACTACCAAGTTCGAAATGGATCATGACTAATCATTTTTTCTACGACTGTTTTATATCAAGGAAATTGGTCATATGTTGACTAAAACAGAAACACATTGGTGCCAAATCTTATAGCCAAGAGTTTGCATTATACTGGTTTGGGAGCAAATATGTTATTCGAAAAAAATTGGTTCCTTTTGCGAGTTTTAACAAACATTCAAGTTTGCAGTTCAGTTATTAGTTTCTCTAGTAAGAAAGACGATTATCCTATTGGCTTTGCGCTATCAATTCACGGTGTTGCACTGTAAATCCTAAGGAATTTAGTGAATGTTCGAAGAAAAACAAAAAAAATTTTGCGGAAAAAATTACGACTCGGCATTCATCCAGACATTTTTTACTGGCTTCGAATGGAAAAAGTGAAACTCGAATCTTTTTGCATAAAAACTTACAGGTCATGCGAAAGCCTCCAATCATATTTTCAGAAAAAAAATTAAAGCGTCGAGCAAAATATCAGGGACGTATGGTCACAATAATTTTCATTTGATTGTGAATGGTGGAGCATGCATTTGATGACTCAGCTGAATATGAAGTTCATCGTAGCTTTGAGTGATCATGGTATTGACGTATCAATATTTAGTCAGACATGGTGTTGCTTATAAAACGACTCTGTGTCTGTTAATTCGTGGAAATAGCATAGATGAATAATTAAAAAAATTGAGGCTCAATTGCTTTCAGATTGAGAACTATATTTTAACAGAATTATGAGGAGACATAACTCATATTATGTAATAAATGTTAAGACAATACTTTCTAAAATGGAAATTAACTTCCAACTGCAACTATGTTTAAAATTATGAAATAGATCAGAAATTCTCACAGAGGAAACGAATGCATAATGTTCCATGTTTCTGAATTCTGTTTGAATTTCACAAGTATTATTACTAATGTCGGGGAAGTATAAATAACACGTTAGGTAAAAATGAGTGTTTTTGTTTGCCCCGTTCGGTGCCCCTCTCTATTCTTCACTTGTGCGCTAAAATGTTTTTTTTGTTCAAGTCTTGAGTTCAGGGCTGAATTGTAACCTGCTTCTCCCAGTCATCTGACTAGGAAAAACGACTTGGAATTAACAAAGTACTCATGCCAAGTCGACCTCAATTTTGTTCGGATGCGTTACAATATACGGAAATTGTACAAATAAAATTGGCTGGGTTCATATTATTATATAATATTATTCATTTCTCATGAGAATTTTGTTCCCCAGCGAAATAATATTTTCGGGGTTGGAAATTTTCTTTATTGAGATATCTACAAATTGAAGAGATGAACGTTCGAAGCTAAATTAAAATGAATGTTCTTGATAACATAACATTCTTTAAGCTAAGAGTACTTATAATTTGGGTGCTGTACGGAGATGTACTATAAAAAATATTCGCGCCTACCAAAGAGGAATAAAATCTTCTCGGCTCCGGTCCAACAAACGAAAAGGGGTTGATATTTTATATTTATTGTCTTATGTACATATATTCAGAGAAATTCATTTATAGTCATGTATAAATTTAGGAAATTCCTTCATTGTCTTATATATATTCAGAGAAATTCATCTCATTGTCTTATATATATATTCAGAGAAATTTATTCATTGTCATGTATGTATTCAGAGAAATTCATTCACTGTCTTATATTATATTCAGAGTGGTTAATTCATTGTCTTATATGCATTCAGAGAATTTCATCTCATTGTCTTATATATATTCAGAGTGGTCCATTCATTGTCTTATATATTCAAAGAAATTCATTCATTGTCTTATATATATTCAGAGAAAAAAGTTAGAAATTAAACCAGCGGATTAAGAATTATTAAATTTGTGGGGACTTCACCGATCACATCTTACACTGGATTAAGAATAAACAATGCATGAAGATATATAGACAAAGAATATTTTTCTATCAAGGTAACTCGCATCTTGTTAGAAGCATTTCATAGAACTGTGAGAAGTGAAACTAATTAGCATGTTAAAACAAAAAAAAATAAAAATAGGGAACACATTTATTTCCCGAAAAGATGAATAAACAATAGTTTTACAAGGTTCAAATTATTCTGAACATAACTTAATTCATTCCTATTTTGGAAAAAATTATTGGCAAAGGATTTTTAGCGCATTTTCTCATTTATGGAAAAAGGGCGCTATTGTGCTCGTCATGTCCGTCCGTCCGTCCGTTCGTGACTCCACGTTTTCGTCGACGAGAAAATGCTCTCTCTGTCACTCACTGCAGTGAGTACTGAGTTATTTTTTTTTGTTATTTGATTTATTGACGAACAGAATAAGGATTGAGGTTGTTGTTTAGACTACAGCGGTCATGAGTCCATAGCTGAGACATGACCTGGTCCAAAATGTCACTGTTTTATGTATATATTGCTCAAGACTGAGGCACTTATTTCGTGCCTGATGGGGCTATAGGTTTATGTTCATTAATCCATTGGAAAATCTGACCGACGAGAGCCATGCCAATTCAACGATTTATAATCCACTGATTTAATTTTTACAGTTATGTATTCGCTCGTAATAAAATAAACATTTAATCTCAATGAATGAATAAATTTCAACACCAGGCTTAGCCTTCTCGATTGAAGCATTCTCGATTGTCCCTTACACGGGGCGGTGTAAGGGACATTTTTAAGCGTATCGCTTTAGTTCAATGTTAATATAAATTACGTTATCAATATATATACTGTATATATATAAATTGCATATAAATTATGGCATATAAATTACGTTATCTTCCGCGGAGATGCAGAAGTGTTAAATATTTCTATCCACATAATCCTCTGTATTGGCTGTTTAAAAAGACAATGTATGGAATTCAATATCATGACAATATGCGAATAATGTTCGTTTCGATTACAATCAATACTCTGAAGCATTTCCGACTGCAACACTTCAACGCTGAACTTTTGCCGTAGCTTGCTTCATTTTCTTCACCTCTGCTCCTTGTTTTTACCGAAGCTAGGATGAGGACTATAAATAAAAATAATTAAGTTTGGTAGTGGGTCATGTGTGATGAAGGTACTCCAATTGACAATGGACATATGTGTAACCACGTGTCGTATTACAATACATTAGAAATAATGTTAATTGTGTTAAATGTCAGCTGATGTAAAGTATGTAAAGTGGGGAGTGAGGACTTATACTTGAATATTAAATGACTTTAATTTGTAGAACTAATTAATGTTATATGTTCGTACTCATTTATATTAGCCATGTTAACCTGCAACTCTGGCTGTTAGACCACAGGTGTATTTATGTATAGGTCACTGTTGTATTCAAGACTACTACGTACATAAAAAAAGTTGCAATTCTGTTTTAAATTTGTACACATTTTCTGTGCGGATAAAAGACTCTATGCAGCCTGCAAAAGGTAAAAACTGTCAGAATATATATCGGAGGTCATCAGTGATTCAAAAATATGTACGATTTGCATCCATCTAAATTCTAAATTAGCTAAAACTTGCACCCGCTCTATGTTTCAGTGAAAATAAAAAACTACAACCTTCTTTTAAGTGTTTACTCGCTTTGCAGCAAAAATTAGGTTAAGCACAGCAGAATTGTAGCAGTGAGTTGCGAGTTCGAGACCGCAAAATGCTGTGAATGTTCTGCGATGTTATGAATCGGCGACAGGCCTACGGCCTAATAAACGCGGAAACCGCTATTTCGTGGCATGAAAGAGCTACATTTGTCGCAATATATTAAGGACAGTTAGCCTAAAAAACAATTTTTAAGTTTGGCAAAGAAAATTTTCATAGCGTAAACTATGTTAGTTTTTGTACACGCGAGCAATGCTTTTTTCGTTTGCTTCTCGTAAATGGACTTGAAATTTAAATTTTGCATAGACTTCATAAAAGTTTATATTAACTTGAAAACTCTGCCACTAATAATGTTATTGTTTTTAAAGTCAAAATGAATGGATTCAGCACTTCCAAATCTGAAATTTTTATTTCGGATCGAATTTCGTCTGAAATAGATTAATTTTGAAATGAATTGCAATAAATCGGTGGATTATTCAGCTCACTTCAAAGGCTTGTTGATTAAAAGAACGTTTCTTAAGACTCATGTCGGTTGAAGAGATGTCTTTGTTTGCTGTGGTTGTAGATAAATTATTTCATTTTCTAATAATTCAAATTTTAGATATCATTTAAATTTTAGAGGTTAAGATAATAGAAAAATTTCATTTATCTCGTATTTCGCTGTAAACGACAAATTGACGTAATCATGTAGAAGTAAAAAGTTAGGTACCGGCATGAACTTTTCCTTTCTTACTAATTTCAAATCTACGACAAACTGTCAAATGACAATATATCTCATTAATGTTGCCTATAATCAATGCATTATAAATTATTAATTACCAATTTTTCTTTTTATAGTCCCTCCCAATTGTTAAGAAAAATAAAATTGGTTCACATTTTCTCTCATGTATTTCAAGAATATTGTATTGAGTAAATAAATAAATTTTGAGAATAATTAAATGCCCGAAAAATGAGCACGTTCGAATACACACGAAGAAAATGCTCCAACAAACTACGAACTACGATATTAATCATAGGAAAAAACAAGATCAATTATCAATTAACGAAACGATCAATTAACGAAACGATCAATTAAAGAAACGATCAATTAACGTAACACTTCTAAACCGATCAATTATTCAAAGTTAATTTAGTATGCGTGAAATTCAAGGCAATGCAGCAACAGTGCACTATTCTATAACACAATTGCAGCAATAGTGCACGGTAACATAGCACTATTGTATACATAATACCTACACAATTCTGTTGATGAGAATGTGGCATGTTGGTAGCCGTTTCTTTCCTTCTTTACAATAGTGAAAGAAGCGAAGGTTTTCTCTGACACAACCTCTCAAGCTATAGGACAGGGATATTGACAGATGAGAGCATAGACACTGACGCAGATCTGAAATATAACAAATTTGGAAATTGATTTGGCACTTCTAAGTTACTAAATCATAAGCTTCAATATAATTCTAAATCATGTCTACAATTTAGCGATAAGATGTATTGAAATGAATGAAAGCGCATGCACAGAATTATTATTTTCACTCTATTTTGGTGGTGAAACATGAATATAGAGTAAGGTATAAAGTGGTGTCAATGATTTGCAACAAACTTGATATTTTGAGGAATTATAATGCAAGTTTTCAACGTTCATCTTTAACGAAATAACCACATTTATTTCAAGATGAAATATATCCGTAATCATCATCATATCTGTCAAGATTTCTGTATGAAACATAAATTTCTAGCAGTTCTTGTAAATAAATGAAATACAAGGTATCCAACTTGATTAGTGGTCATACGCAACAAGTTCCGCTTTGACTGCATTCAAAATCTCAATATCCATAAATTAGTTAACAAAAAACTTCAAACCTAAAATTGAGTAAAATCGACAGTATGGCTTAATGTCGAGAATTTATACCTCATGAAAGTTGAAATTTAATTCTTTCTCTTTAAAAAGTTCTCCGGTTTTATTTTAGTGAAAAATTTTCGATAGTTTTATCACGAAGTTGATCCGGGCATGTAATATTAGAACCTTGAATTTTCGCAGAATTTAAATAAGATATTTTGATTTGGAATGTACGTTTGTTTCGGTTTGAATTTTCCAATGAATTATCAAAATAAAGCTCAATTTCACCAGCTTCGAACATGAACAGATTATCTATAGCACTTTCCTGTAATATACGGGAAAATCTTATGTTACATCAATTCCAGCCAATTGAACTGATGATGTCTCACTTTATACGGTCGATCCTCATCGAACAAAAGCTCATAAGACTATAAAGTAATATTGTCAATGGCAGAAGTAACTTCCAATCAAACTAGCATTAAATAATTCACGATCACCGTTCACATATTGCTGGCAGATACGGCAGATCATTTGCAGGCAGATCCGGAAGATCACACGAGCCTCCTCTGCAGGCTGTTGTCCTCCTGGAACTGGACCTGGTTTCCTTCTTGTAGAGGATCAGTTTGCGATCTTTGTGAATTTACAGCTACGACCTTTTGATTTTCATTAGGGGACTCCTTGACTTCTTCGGGTTTCTTCTCTGCTTCTTCTACGGCCTCTTCGGGTTTTTTCTCTGCTTCTTTTCCGGCCTCTTCGGGTTTTTTCTCAGCTTCTTTACCGGGTTCTCCGGGTTTTTTCTCTGCTTCTTTTACAGCCTCATCGGATTTTTTCTCTGCTTCTTTTACGGCCTCTTCGGGTTTTTTCTCTGCTTCTTTTATGATCTCTTCGGGTTTTTTCTCTGCTTCTTTTATGATCTCTTCGGTTTTTTTGGCATCTTCTTTTACGATCTCTTTTTCTCCAACATCTTTGACAGTAACAACAGTATCAGCTTTCGCTACTCCTTTAACGATTTTTTCAAGCTCGTCCTCAACTTTCTTGATACTATCATTCCCGGCTTCAATTTTAGCCTCATCTTTAACAATTTCGTCCTTTACCCCATCTTCTACAACAGTAGATGATGTCTCTTTCTCGACGGTTTGGTCTCTTTCGACAGCATCCTGAGAGTTATCGTCTGGTGACCGCTGAGTCGTGGCTTCAGCCTCTGGGATCGTAGGTTCTTCTGACGCAACAGCAGTGGAGGGCTCCGACGAATTTATTCCAGAGCTTGGAGTGTCTCTCATTCGAGCCCAGTAGTCGCCATCGCTGGCAGGCTGAGTTTTGGATGCAATCGGTTTCTCTTCCTCCTGAGGTTGTACCTTGGATCCCAATTTGTCTTCATCTTGAGAATTTTCTTGGATTACGTCGGCTCCCAAGACTTTCGAAACTTCAATGGTAGCTTCTTCCTCTGTATCTGAACTTGATTCAACTTTTGATTTATCCTCTAGTGCCACCTTTTCAATGACTTGGGGTTGAGCCTCAGTGGTTTCGGATACCTCCGCATCTGATGCCGACTTAACATCGGCACTTTTTTCAGGAACGATCCCTGACTCTACAGGTTCGGGGGTTTCAGTTATTTCGACTATCTCAATAGGTGCACTATCTTTAAATACGAGATCTGATGCACCAGAGTCGCTGACCTCAACTATTTCAATTGGGGCAGCGAATTTGAAGCTCACATCTTCTTCATTGGCTTCTTCCTCAACAGGAATATCTGTCACTCCATCATCTGACTCGTCTCGGAGGACTTCTGGGATGATTGTTGTCGCGTCTTGTTCCTGATCGATCTGTAACTCGGATTTGTCGAAATTTTTTGAATTAATTCTCACTCCCTGTGTTCCACTTGCCGCAGTTTCAATCTCTTTTTCTCCCTCAGGCTGTAGAGTTGTTGTCTCAATCTCATCAACTGCAACTTCTTTTTCCGAGGCTGATTTGGGGTTGGTTTCTGGGGAGGGAGTTGTAGTATCTGATTCATCGTCAACGGACTCGCTTCTGAAAAGAGTGTGACTGGAAATTTTTTCTTCCACTGCCTCTTCGATTGGTTTATCTGTTACATCTTCATCTCTGAGATCAAAAATCTCTGTAACAGCTTCTTCTCTATCAACTGGAGTATTTTCAGTCACTTCTTGATCAGGAAAATTTACTTCTTGGTCTTTAACTTTTTGCGATTCCTTCTTAGCTACTAAAGCGTCAGCCAGAATTTTGATTACAGGATCACTGGTTTCATTTTTCTTGGCATCGGTTGATTCTTTGCGAATCGGGATGTCATTTTCAGTAGGGGCAGATGTAGTGTCTTCATCCACATTACTCTGCTCCACAGATACTTTGTCAGCAATTTCAGTTGGTGGAATTTCAGCGCCTGCACTTGGAACGTCTTCGGCAACCGCGACTATTTTGGGATCTTCAGTAGCTTGTGGTTTCTGAACCTCAGGTTTTTTGGTTTGTGAAACTTCGGCTTTTGTCTCTAGTTTTGTTACAGGTTCAGCTTTTTCATTGTTACCCTGTGTTGTCGCATTGACTTTTTCAACTACCACTTCATTTTTGATGGCATTATTCCGCCCAACGACAGTAGCTGAGACCGAAGACTCTTTTGGCTTCGACGAGGCGACCGACCCTTGGGGAATAGGACCTGCAATGCGAAAAATATCCTTCATAAACCTTGGTATCATCTTAACATTTTTCTAAAAGACTTTTCAGAAAATTTTTTTAATGAAGAATATACATTTATCCTGAAAAATCATCACAGAATTTTGTAATTATTAAGAAAAATTGTCAGGTGGTTCTAAGTGTCCATGGAAGATGGACACATAGTTTATTTGGTAAAAATTTTCAGGTGGCAGAATTCACTATATATGAATTAAGGTACTCACTGGCACAGGCAGATGCCACTAGAAGTAACAGTAGCAGGGACTTCACGTTATGCTTCATGTTGATCTGCACGGAAAATAAAAATATTAGGAGAAAAGATATCCAAAAATGTTGAATATAACACGGATGGATGACTTGCTGATTTGTTAAACTTGCTCTAGTGACGTACAGCGTCAGCACTCGATACCAATTAGAATTTTCCGTTTACTTAAACTCAGAGTATCAAAAATTAAACTTTTTCTCCATAATCCCCAATATTCTGGAATTAATTCACATAAAGAGGAGAGAAACATTAAATTTTATTTTATTTTCGTCTTTAGTGAGACATGTTTCCGATACATTATTTTCTCTTTTGCTCTGCGGACGACTGAGACGGTAGTCAATTGCACCAATTTGCTTGCAATTGTGGCTAGCTTCTAGATGACGCATGGCTTTCGTAACGACCGTGCAGTCTTGCTTCTAAATTCTAGCCTCTTTTTTGTCGTTTTTTCTTACATTTTCCAATTTCCATGCCAGCGCTGTCCTTACATTTACATTTCTCTCAAGCTTCATCACATCGCCTATGTCGCCTGTGAAACTTATTAGCTAATATAGGCATTCACACGGAAGCAATTTATATTTTTTCTTCAAATTTTCGATGGTCTCCTGCTATGTATTTTTTTGTGTGCTCCTCTGTGAATAAAGAATAAATAATTTCCTACTACTCTTATCATTTTCTACTCGTCTTGTCCAAGCATCTTACAAGCTCAGTGCCAGACTCTTCCTAGCCTCCTCATGAACTTCTATCTTCAGGAGAGTTGTCGATATTTCAAAAGCTCAAGAGCAAACTTTGGCCTTCGAGCACGAGCCCTGGCTGAGGTCAACGGCATTGTATGCATTGAAATTTATCAATCTTATCGACAAATTCTTAACAATTTTTGCAATGATTTGCAATGAAGAAAGCTTTGAAGTGAATTTTTCAACAAAATTAAGTTTAATTGAGAAAGAAATTACAAACTAACCATATTAACAAAATTATAATTTTTCCGTAATAAATAATGAGATGGACCTGATTCCGGTCACCATTTATCAGACTCATTTTTCCATCAAACCACGTTCAGTTCAGGCACACTTGTCGAGCGTAGTTAATTTTTATTGTTGTGGTATTCGTACTCTTCAATTTGCAAAGTTTGTCTTCATGGCACTAGAAAGTTGTGAGAAACTTTCTCGCTCCATATTAGGATGCAGTCTGTACCCAGTGACCTTTTCAGCTCGTCCTGAGAATACGCAGTTCATTCTTGTTCCTAATGTTTTATTGCTGAAATTGTAACTTTTTATGCGCCTCAGTTATTCAATTTTTAGTGCATTTAAAATGAAATTGATAACGCTCTAGGAACACAGTATTTGGGTTGAGAATTTTTTTAATCAATAATTAATGTGCGAATACATGTTTTGATCTTTATATTTAATCGCTTATTTAATTTAAATCTCTGACCTCTGACTTGAAACGATCAAGTTTGCGTTTTTGCTGGGCCGCCTATTTTGCTTCACTACTCATTTTTATAGCAGATATAACTCTATATCTCTTTGTTCTCAATTTCAACCCATACTCTGAATTTAAAAAAAAATAAACCCTATATTAAAAATTATAATTGTGCTCGTGCATTTCCCAAAGCAAAAGGCACTACAGAATTTACCACTCACCGGAGTACTGCCCAAGTAGACAATCATATATAGTCTCTACCTGGCTAAAGAACAATCTACTGGCCATATCTACCCGCCAGGTCCCGTTAGGTGTCCAAGATTTACAGTCTACCTGTTATCGCGCATTCCAAAGCCAGCATGTTTTAGTAATGGTGACCTGGTAGACCAGACAACAGGATCTACCTGCTAGACAAATATTTTACACGGTTACGACAATCCTCGCTATCTTTGATTAACGGTTGCTCAGTGTACTGTACCAAACAGAGAGATTTGAGCATACGGCAGCATCGCACTCGTCCTCAAACATGGTTCACTATTGGACTTTTTTCTAAAGGAAGCTCGGCAAAGTGGCGAGAATGCATATTTGTTTGCAATGTTAATTTTTTATAAAAAGGGAGGTTCTAGAGAATCGAGATGTCAAGTTTTAAATTAAGGTTTATATTGTAAGACCTTAACTGTCAGTAGCAAGCCGAGATAAGCGACGCAATTTATTGTGTCTTTTATATCAGTCTTTTATATCATATTGAATTAATTTAAAGTTAGTAGCATCTTGCTGTTTACGCATTTTCACGCGAAAATAAAAAAATCTTCAATTCAAATCAATAATATTTGAGTTTAATGACGCTAGTTTATAATTATTAGGAGACTCAAAAACTTTTCCGCGACGAACTTGCTCCACTTTGTTCTGTTTTGATTCAAAATTTATGGGTGCAATATTATTTGTTGGAGAAAATTATACTCCGTTATTTAAATTGTTTAAAATGAGTGACATGAAATAAAATTTTTGAATATTCATGTTATATATTTCCGATGTAGGCAATATTGTGTCAAAAATTATTGGAAAATTCTCTGCTTTAAGAATCAGGAGCAGCATGAAAAGAAGAGGCGGCGTCTGTCTAGCCCAGCTTTCTCGAGTGGCGCCTTAGACAAAGACTGCATTATGGCCAGCGTCATTTTTAAGGTCCATTTCGCAGCCTTAAAGGCATTGGCAAAGCTTTTTTATAAGATGAGATCTCATTAGTTTTTTAGAGTTCCAGGCGGTCAGTAACGGTTCTCTGAAATGAAATCCTTGCGGTGGTTTCCAAATGATGCATCCAACCGGACAGGTTTTTTTTACTGGGGTGGAAGCAATCATTTTCTCGACGGCGCCGCCTAAAGAAAGTAAGCCAAGTTCTTGGAATGAAATTGATTGCTTCGGTCCAGCAAGCTCCTCATTGTCTGGCTCCTAGGACTACCTTGATTGCATGCAGGTGCAATTTTGAAATACGTACGCTACGGAATGCATAAAAAAATTAGTGCCATGAGTGAGGAAATGGTTTCATAAACCCGAAATGAGGCTCCGAATTTTTCATTATCTGACTTTAAGAAGCACAATGATAATGGGAAATTGAGAAATTTAATCAGAGAATGGGATTAAAATAGAGACATGAACAACATTCTAGGAGTTAAAGATTAAATTATTGTGGTAAAGTTCTAGTTTGTTTGTAGTTTGTATTTTTATGGTTGTTGGAAAAAAACGACAAGAAATAGCTTGATTTCGAACTTTTAAAGGATTCTTGGAAGTAACCTTATGTTAAGTGATATAATCAATATTTAGTAAATGTTTGAAGATACCCTCCAGAAGTATCGATTGAATGTGTGATGTTAAATGATGCACTTATATATCAATACTCTTTGTTAAAAAACCTGTATTGGCCCATGCATTATTGGCAAAAATAAGTAAGTTCGTCAAGAACGTCTCGAGGATAATCGTTTTTGAACGCCCAGGCTTTAACTGACGAGTCATGCCAGGGTAAAAAAATTTGTGCATTCTTCTTTGTGTCGTGTGATTGGTTGTTGCTAAATGACTTCCTAAACTGCGTAGTTTAACCAAGCATGTGCATTAAAAAGTTACTATTTGCGTTTCTGAAAATATTATGAGAGAAAATAATGAAATCTTACACTAGCCTTAAGCCTGCTTGTGGGTTCATTTTTTGAGATTTTATACCAAAAATGACGATACTTTTCAATTCGTGAGTTGAAACTAAGTATTTGTCTGAATAATTGGCATAACATGTTTAACAACGGATATTCAATTTTTTATGTTGTTATACCACGTCAATATACATATGAGTTCCAACATTATTATGTACGTAAACTTCCGGTACAACAGTGAATTTATTCGACTAATGGGTACCGGAAATGGGTATTGGGTAAAATACCCTAATGGGTATTTTACCGTTCTGGTACGGCGGAATATATACTGGACTGATGATAGATTAACTCTCGCATGCATAAATATTTTCAGTGACTTAGGATACGCCTCGACGCAAATTTTCAACCCCGGTATAAAATTTTAACTAAATTTTAATCGAGAAAATTTCATAGGTTTTCATCAATGTCATTGGCTTTTAGTCATTTACAGCATAATACTTTTTAGACTTCGAATCAACTTCAGAAGAGTTAGTTACCTGTACTCCGATGTAATTTTAGCAAATTAAAAGAATATGAAGACTTATCCTGGCTTGCCACTCCTGAGGGTACGCATCATATTTCATGTAGGGCATTTCACAACATTTTTCAGTCATTAAAACGGTTTTTAAGTAAAATATGCGTAAATGGTGTGGGAAAAGGGACCCAACTACTGCATGTGAGCTATGCATACTTTGAATGCTTCAACACAAAATTTTATGCTCAAGTTTTTTTGTTGAAACTTTTGTTAACTTTTTGGCCAATGCTCACAGTTTTGAAGCCATATGAGACACAGGGACCCTTGTTTTGCCCAATATGAGGTCCCTGTGTCGAATTTTTTTATTATAGTTTGATACTGTAGCTCATCGGTACTGGCTTGAATTCAAAGTTCAGAAGATAATTCAATGAAACTTTGAAACAACAGAACCGTAAATACATACGGAAGAAAGTTCAACGATCCAAGAAATAGACAGCGACGATATATATTTTCAAGATTTTTTTGAATTCATAGGCAAATTAAAACGGTTAATAAAGAGGTAGCGGAGTTTCAAAATTGAGTTTAATTGTGAACCTAACGTACGATAATTGGTAGTCGCTGAATTGACAATGGTCAGGCTCCCATTTTCGGCTTCCCTTTTTGACGAGAAATTTTTCGTTGTAAAGCTGTCAGTCAGAAGGTCTTTGATCCCTAAAGTCTCGCCTGCATTTATCGGTCGCAAGATTCAGTGGGAACAATTTCCTTATTCTTGGTCGTCTCAAAGCAAAAATAGAAACAAAATACAAAAAAAACTTGCCGCAGGACGGAATGAAAATAGCCTTTTCATGACTCGTAATTCTATACCGGCAGATTGTTCCTGTCTTGGATAGATTCTAACAATTGTACTCTTTTCTTTTGTCTGTGTGATGGGAAACGAAAGATAACATTTTTACGGTGTATGACTTTTGTTGGTAAATATTTTACTATCTGGATATATAAATTTTGCAGTTCATTAGAAATGTACAAAAATTGTGTCTTTAGATGAAAAATTTACTAACCGATTTATTATTGTTGAATGTTCTGGGCTAATGTTTTCTCGATTTTTCTATTGACTTGCAAAATTGAGCTAAAAAAATTGCGCTTCCAACACTCGAAAAATTTTAGTTATATTTTTCGATCGAGGTAAAAACTGAGAAAGACAACACACAATTCAGCTAAGAAATTGGCAAAATTTAAAGTCATGCACATAGGAATGTGCGGGAAAAAATTGCGATGGTTCATTCGGAGCATGCAAAAAAAAAAGATGTCGTTAAATTGTAAATTTATTTCGAAATTTATATATCACGAAGAGAATTTGCAATAGCGCCATCAATTTTTTTAAATACCTCGAATGATAATTCAGTCGTAGAAGAATCTAATTTTAAAAATTATTTTCTTATTATATTATTATAATTATTTGAATTACTGTATATGAGTAATTCAAAATATGAAATTCAGCATTTTTAATTGTTTATTTGGAGGACCAATTAATTGATGTTAGATGTGGGTAAATTCTTTTCTTTTATTTTTCTTTGAATTTTATCATTTTTGAGAACTTTTTAACATTATTTTAGGTAAATTTTTTGAAATTTAATTGGTTTATCGGCAATTATGTCGTTGTCGGTAAATTTGAATTTAATGAAACGATTTTCATAGTTAAACTATTTTATCGAAAAATTTCCCATACGAATTGATTGAAATTGAAATTTTTGTTGACACATCAGCCGCGCTTGTCAATTACCAATCATTTTGCTTGAGGAGAAGTGTATCGAATAATAGTATTACACTTACAAATGCATTAAACTTTTTAAAAATCCCTTACTAATATTTACTTCTATTGCTTAGTTTAAAATCATGTTCACTCTATAATGATCCTATGATTCAAATGATCTCTTTTAATGAGAAATTAATAAAAAATGCACATTATCATTGAATTACCTTTTGTACGAAAAATATTTAATCTTATACAATAAGTACAATTATAGGTAGGTACCTTCAACTTAATCAGCTATACAACTCATTATATAAAACGTAATGTCAAACGACCTCAGGAACATTAAATATACAACAGTTAGTCGTAATTGTATCTAATCTCTCATAATATAAAAATTAATACGCAGCATCAAGTATCATTACCTCAATTGGGATCAGAAAGCGTAGATTTATCTCAAGAACGAGCGGGGATGGTAGCGATGCGAGAACCTTGCAGTCCGACGTCTCTTCGGCGACTCGTTTGGAAGCGAACAACCTCCTGCCTTTTGGTCTCGACGCACGTACTCGCAAGCCCTTTATTTTCATGAGTTCCTTGCCTGTCAAAACTCGCGGAACAAGTCGGTGCGTCATTGCTGCCTCAAGGCTCGCGGTAGCTACTTTTCGAAGTTTTGGACTGAAAATTGTGCGTTATTCGATGTTTGGGCAGTACAGACTTGGGGTCTGGAATTGGCTGGTTAGGCATGAAGCGCGCATGGTGATTGGTGAGTAGATTTACACAATTTTGAATATTTGTTGAGGAATCAAGGAATACGCATCAAGAATCAAGTTGACGCGCACCACAAAGTTGACTGGGAAGTTTTTGTAACTCCGGGAACTACAACAGTTGCACATTTCCGGGCGAAACCCAAATATTTCGCAGAAATGTTAATGAGGCAAGACTAAACATTTTTTTCAACACGGCATGATAATCTTACGACAAATGGAGCACCGATGCTAGCCAGGAGCTACAAAATTGTTGCGCGATTGCAACTGCATCGTAGAATTCTCGAATGTACTAGGAACAAATTTGTTCACAGCAAAGGCGGGTGGATACTATTACGTTAGATGCAGTAATCTAAACATCGATAAGTATGTAAAAGAAGGGCTGATTTAATACGAAATTCAGATATTTTAAACTCTATGTAAATAAATGCCAATCAAGGTTCGGCAACTCGTACAAGAATTGCAAATAATAATTTTTACTGTTTATTACTCGTTGTCAAGACGTTCGTGACTAAAAGTTGCCAAATAAATGGCTTCCTCAACACAGAATTTGCCGTAACCTAATGATTAACTCAAGCCTTGTGGCAACAAACACCATTTAGGCTCGCCACAAACGCTTCAAGGCTGGACGAACTTACCCTTAACTGTTACAAGCGTTTATTGCGGAATTTCAGTCACGCAACGAAAAAGAATGTACGTGTACAACGTCAGTTTTTAATGACAACATTTTTTGATTCCAGCTAAATAATGCTGAAGTTATATTATATATTTTTGTCCGAACGACAAAAATTTTTAAAGATTTTTCATGCGACTGTTTTTGAAATTTTAGTCTTGGTTGACAGCACAAAATTATGTTTTCGTATACGAAGATTTTCTGAATTGAAAGAAAATTAATAAAATTGTACCTCATGATCCATTAAAATTTGATGTTTAGGCCTGAAGATTTCACTTGCGAATGGCTTTTATTCATATGAAAGGGAATTTTATTTTTAATATTTTGTTATTATTATTTCTGGACTCGTTGGAGCAAAATAGAAGTAATACTAAATTACTTAAGTTTGAAGGGAGCTTTATGCGGATTCCACAAAATGTAATTCATCCGCTTTTCTCCTTAAATGTCTCATTAATACAATGGTAATTATTTGATTACAAATTTTCATTGAAATAAATGTCAGACTAGATTGCATTTGTTGTCTGGTAAACACGGTACAAATTTATCTATTGCACATACGCATAGCTCACGTTATTATAAATATTTGTTTGTTTCAATAAATGAAGTGAATTAAATTTGCTTCAGACTGGCTAAATTTGTAGGTGTAGAGTCAAAGATTAACCGATTCTTAGACCTGCACTGATGCCTTAGGTCAAAATGTTATCTCTGTAGGACATTTCGGTGTCTTTAATAGGTAACAAGTTCTGGAATTTTATCTTGTAGAAAAGAAAAATATTATTTTTAACAAAATGCAGCCTTATTGATAATTATTTTCTAACGAATCCTTCGCCGCCATAAATGATTTATTCATAAAACTGTAAGGATTATATTTAATAATCATCGGGCAGAAAATTACTAAAATATTTCGCTCTACATATAACTTCTAAATAACCAGATAACGATTGCTGATGCACGTAGTTGAAATTTAAGATATACGGACACACTAAAGATATATTTTTTTGGTTGGAATCAAAGTCATTGTTCTTGACCTTGTATCTTAGCGAGGACTCATCTGCAATTCGTCGACCTTATCCTTCTAGGAATTGTCTGGGTATAGGAAATGCTTCACTGCAATCGTCAAGTCTTCTGTGGAGAAAAATTACTTGGAACAAAACTTGGGATTAAATAATATGCGTGAAATCGACGAAACATAAACAGTAATGTTAATCACAACGACCATCACAAAACATTGATTACTCAAAAGGTATTGTCATGAGTAAGAAATAATAATAATTATTGTTATTAATAATAATAATAATTATTATTAATTAATAATTATAATATAATTAATAATATAATAATTATTAACGACTTGGACTGATCAAACGCTCTTTCGAGTTCCTAGATGCAGGAACGATGAAGCAGTTGTTTGTTGCTGTCGTGCGCCCGAACCTAGAGTTTGGAAACGTCGTATGGTCACCGAAATTTGAAAAGGACAGAAATTTAGTAGAGAGTGTTCAAAGACGCGCAACAAGAATAGTTCCGGGCTTGAAAGGCAAGTCCTATGAGGAATTTAAAATGCCTAGCAAATTACGGACCAGGCAATAAGTCCAGCAGCTATCTCAATCAATCGTCAGCTATGGAAAGATCGGGTTCCAAAGGCCGGATCCCTTGTGAATCAAGTCACGAAAAGTTCAAGAATCGGCAACAGGCCATGGGCCTATTTCTTCAGCGCCGACACTTCTATTCTATTCTATTGTTATGTGCTAACTATATGATTATTTAAATTTAATAATGAGGTACCGTACAAAAATTGCGGACGCATTGCCATTTTTACAAATTAGGCAAATACTTTTAAGGTCAATACAGTAGTTAGCTCAAAACTCGACCAAAAATTTATGATAGTTATTGCTATTATGAAGTGAAAATGGTACTAAATGTTGATTGACCACTGAGGAACCACTTATGACCAAGTTTTGGTCCTCACATGGTCTCGTTAATGAGAACCAATTATTACTGAAAATGTACTCATATGCAGTTCAACTGGGCATTAATTAAGCGGATTCTGCTAGTCATCGCACGACGGAACGGTTTCTTAATACTTGTGTTTTTTTGCATTTTCACATTGTTAAGATTTAATCATTTGTGCAATAAAATTTTCTGCGTATTTTCTCCAAAATTAACTCTCTATATACTTACAAAGATTCACACGCTATTACGTCGTCTTGCTTATTGCAAAATGAAATTAATTTTATACAGCAATTATTTGGCTACTCGTGTAACATTATTCTTACCCGTAACAAACAACTAAAACTATCTTATGATGTAATTAAGATCTAACATCTTATGATGTTAATTAAGTACTGATAAAATCAACAAAGGTTTTAAAATGCCGGCGCTAGCTGGCTGATCAGTCCATATTATTTGGCTACTGATGTAAGATTGTTCTTACCCTAAGAAACAACTAAAATTATCGTATGATGTAATTAAGTTCTAACATCTTATGATGTTAATTAAGTACTGATAAAATCAACAGAGACTTTAAAATGCCGGCGCTAGCTGGCTATTAGCCGGCGCTGATCAGACCATAATTTCCATCAGCGGCCGCCTTTGTTGACGGCAGCGCAGACCTGCAGGCTGAGACTCGGCGGTTAGCGGCCTGGCGGTTAACGGAACTCCTATACCAGCCTCGTCGTCTGTGGACGGTTCAGCCCGTCCACAGACGACGCCCGTCCACCCGTCATCGTCTATGCACGACCCTAACATTAGGATTTTTTCGTCTTGCCCCGAGGGATAGCGAAGAAAGCCTCCGCCGAAGCGCCAGCATGAGAAAGCTTGCCATGTGAGTTCGGCTGTCGTGGATGCATTGGCCTTTACAGATGTTCTCAGGTTCAGCAGCCATTAAGATAAGGAAGTAGTAGAGTTTAAATATATTTCCTGGTCAGCAGTCATTAAGATGACTAATAATTAGCATTCCATTAAATTTTCTGCTCAGTTAATTGTCATAAAGATAAGGAAATAGTAGCACTTCTAGTAAATTTCCAGTTCAGCCGTCATTGAGATAACTAATAAGTAGCATTCCATGACATTTTCTGCTCACTTGTCATTAAGATAAGGGAGTAGTAGCAATTTATGATATTTACTTTGCTGCAGTCATTAAGCTGAGAAAGAATGAGCATATAAAATATTTCCTACTCAGCAGTCACCAAAATTAGGAAGAGTATCACTTTACGACATTTCTCGCTGAGCATAATGAAACAGTAGCTTTTTAAATATATTATCTTCTCAGCAGGCATTAATACAAGGAAAAAGTGACCTCGTATTGTACTTTCTGCTCAGGTATCATCAAGAATGCAGTAACTTTTCGATCATTTCTCGTAAGTTATTACTCTGAAAAGGTGGCAATCATTAGCGGTTTTTAATCATCGGCGGTAAGCAGTCATTGTGAAATTCAAGCTGTTGTTTTTGCTCGGTAATTTTCATGCTCGGTAGTTATGTGGGGATAACAATGCCGAAGGCCTTATTTAGATGTTCGGTAGTTATTTAAGGGGGCCGTCTACCCTCCGTAAAAACTTCTACAGTAATTATCCGATCATCGTGAAACTTCACATACACACGTAAAATGTAAAAAAAATAACATTTTGTTCGTATGAATTTTTTGAAAAAATTGATAGAAAACGTGAAATTCATAGAAAACGGCTAAAAACGGGTACTTTAGAAAATCTATCTCCTCCTACAAATATCATCCTACAACATTGAGACACGTATCATTCTATTTGTAAAGACCATACCTATAGACTCTATGATCCATTTCTCTCATTTTTCCCATAGTTTCTTTTTTATGCGCATTTTTCCCATTTTTCTCATTTCCCCCCCCCCCTTCTCCCTCATATATAAGACGAACCATACACAAATTCCAAAAAATGATGTTAGAGACGATAGGTATGGTCTTTACGAATCGAATGGTATATGTCTCATTGCTGTAGCTTGAAAGCTGTAGGAGGAGATAGGTTTTCAAAAAGACAAAAAACGAAAATTTAAATAGTTCAGGGGAGCCAAATAAAGTAAAATTCATTGAAAACAGAAGAATATACCCAAAAAAGTCTTGATATTGTAGCCCAAGCTTTCC